TATTTTCTGAAGATTTTCCAAATATGGTTTATGTTAAAGATGAAAATTTACAAGGAGGATCAACGTTAGTATTTAATAAAACAAATTCTAAAAAGGTAGATATTCTTAAGGAATATCCATATATGTAATAGTATATCATATAATTGGTGTTATATGAGAAGGTGATAATTCAAAACTAGAATAATTTACACGTGAAATATTCGTCAATCATGTATACAAATTAATTGAGTTTTGCTGTATCTATTATTACTTGCCGTTTTTATGTAATACTGCTGTGAATACATATACATTAAAAGAACTTTTTATTTATGTTCACGATTACGACCAATTATACGATATTCTGCATATATAGAATAATTAAATTGATTACGTTGGGACATGGACATGGACATGATTACAAATTTTCATGTTTTACAGAGATTTAATAGCTATCAAAATATACGGAATACTTTTGATAGTACAAAGCTATATGGAATTGCTCAGCATATAAACGAATTTAAGGTAAAAAAATTACTATCCTTATGAGAAAATTTTGTTTTATAAATTTATGTTATCTCTCTGTGTGTGTGTGTGTGTGTATTACAGATAAATCAATTATTTGATTTAAATTCAAGTTTATATTTACACGAACCTGCATCTGATATAAACATATTGATAGAAATGAAAGATAGTGAAATTACGGAACGCGTAGTAAACTTTGGCAAAATAAATGCAACAACTAACAGACCGTTGCCAAATGCATTGGTTTGCTGGTACAAAATCAGATTAACGTTGAACTATAATTACGATACAAAAAGAAATGGTTCCTTTATGAATCACACAGCAGTACTATTGGAAGATGAACTAAAAACCACTGCCCTACAAGGTAACGAAGTATACATAAAAGTTCAACAGGTCGAAGGTGTGGTGCGTATAAAAGTAAAGTGATCCTAGTAAAGTGTTCAATTTTGTATAATTGCAATCCACTTGAAATGTACATTTGTTTTACATGTTTAAATACTATTCCATACATGTATATAAGTAATGGTATAAACTATAATTTTCGCTGTTGACTAAACTAAATTTACTGTTAAATGATGTATTATGTAGTACAAAAAATTATTTTATAAAAATAAAAATTTATAATTTACTCTTTGTGTCATTCTTTAGAATTTTATATACATGTGGTGCTACTCTTTCAGGATAATTATTATGTACATCATGAGTTCCTTCCACAGAAACTATATCAAATATGCTCTTATCTTTTGTTACACTTTCTATTTGTTTTGCGTATTTATTCAGTAAATCTCTTGTACTCGAGCTATTTGCCACAATAAGCAAGCTTGGTGTTCTGAATTTCTTCCAGAATTCCGCATGCATCTGTATGTTTAACATCGGACGTACTATTATTCTTAATCTGGGATCACGATTGTATTTATACAAATCTCCAACTTTAGTAACTGCACGTGTAAACATAGCTTCTGCAGCTTCTGTATTTAATACGTCTTTCCTTTTATACTGTAAAGCATATATTACTTCTTCTTTAGTGTACAATTTATGTCCAACATTACTATAAGCATTTAAATTGTATATATCTTGAACACGAGAAACAATATCATCGATTGCATCAGATACAAATCCATCAATAGCTATAATTCTTTCAAGTCGACCAGGATACAATACACTGAAATATGTTCCTATATGAGCACCAAAACTATGTGCTAAGTAGATACAAGTTCTCCATTTTAAAGTGTTTAGAACTAGTAAAATTGTATGAACATAATCAAAAAATTTCAATGGTAGTCCAGAAGGAAATGGTGAAGAAAATCCATGTCCTGGTAAGTCTATGCTTACATACTGGTACTCTTGTGGAAGTAGTTCTATTAATCTGTCAAAAGATCCAGCATTGTCTAAAATACCATGTACTACCAAAATTTTCTTCTCTTTTGGAGAACCATAGACTTTTGCAGCAACATGTCCCCATGGTACTGGGAATTTCACTTCCGCGAATTGCTTTTTCAACTGACTCATGATAATAGGCAACAACTTGCATATAATAAACACTCCACTAATTAATTGATCCCTCTTTATAGAATCACAATTGAAGAAAATATTATGCACTGCGTATAAATGAGTAATAACCTTGGTATTTATTGATATTCTTATCAAAGTAAAAAGGCAACGAAGGTAACAAAGGTAACAAAGTTCAATATGTTAATCAAGTATCGCAAGTCATTTATCCCACCCAAATGATTGCTGTAAGATAAATCATACTTATATAACATGTAAATTATATATATATATATATATATAGTTGAGAAATATCTTATAAACTATTTAGAAATGTACTATCAATTTGTATTTACCAATTTTTTAAAGACTCCAATATTAGTGATTTTATTACATAGTTCACGTATTTAGTTTCTCAGATCTTTAATGCATTATGTGATGTATAATTTACATCAAACGTACATATTGAAAATTCATAATTTTTTGTCACGGTACATGAACAGTAATAAATATGAAATTACTCTAACGAAGCGTTGATTACACGTGTATGTAGATTTTGTTTGAGAATCGTATTTCAAGTTTTGAACAGTAATATGTAACACGTGCGAAAAACACGTATAATAATTTTGACATCTGACATCATTGAAATAGGCATTCTAATATCTAGTATTGGATCCAGAGTACTCAGATGCCTAATCACTTTACGAATTTCTTCCAAGAAAGTAGGAGTAGGAGAATTACCCATCACAAATGGGATTGGATGATGCTAATGGTTTCCATTGGCAATCCATTGAAATCGTTCAATTCCATTTGTGAGGTCTTCTCTCCGCTACTTGGAGTAGATTCCGAGCAGAACCCTGGCACTATTGAACACATTAGATACCAATAGACACACTGGCCTTGAATGGAAATTCCAAAAACGGTCAGACGTGAGAGAGAGAGAGAGAGAGAGAGAGAGAGAGAGAGCTCTGATTGGGCCATTGGACCAATGAAAATGAGAGGGGAAAAGCATTAACCAATTCGTATCCAATAAAAAGATACAGGTTGTACAGTAATGAAACTTACTCCTGCACGCTTTTCTTATACCCTAAGCTAGCGCGCACATTCCCACCATTTTACTGCGCGTTCAATCCACAGTGGATTCTCGCTAACGGACAACTTCTTACAACACAACTTACACAGATTCTAGAGATGATCCGCTAGAGGGAAACGCACCTCACGCAACACTAGCAAGCCTATGCAATAGTTCTTTCAGTTACATTCTCATTGTTTGTAAGATCTTCAGATTTGTTATTACATATAATAATAAAAACTTAAATGTAGACGGTTTACAGATTGAAAAATGGAAGATAATCATACACCTGTAATTAATCCTTGGGATACATTATCTACAGTTACTAAATTTGACAGAGGTAACATAACCTTAGTCCCCGCGTAATTTTAAATTTTTCCATATTTGGTAGTTCTACGTAAAAAACATTTCGAATTTTTCAGTTCATAAGAAATATCAATATATAGTTCTTCAAATATTTCCTGAAAAGTATATTGCCTTAATTATAAAAAATATAATTGCGTAACTACGAAAATACTAATCAAGCTACAATACAAAGTTGAAGTTTAAAATATGATTCCAATAATTAATTTTTACTATTTTATTTATGATGTTTTCAGGTAAAGACACAAATACTACAGTATGCATGAATAATGATGGAAGTCAAACTAAAGGACAAGTTGTAAGCATAGTTACACCGTCTATCAGTCTTTTGATCGAATCTCTTATACAACAACTTTGTACATTGTTCGAAGATGATATCGTTCGCCGAAATAAATTATATTTTGGTAAAATACATATATGGTTTTTAAAAAAATTAGATTCATATACTTATTTCATATTAAAAACTAACTTGGTGATAAATTTGTGCTTTACTAATGCATAGACATTTTAATTAATATTGTAATATTTATTTGTAGCAATTTGTGATAGACTTCATGAAATGAAGTTAATCGATGGTTCATATAATATGATGGAATTTGAATCATTAAGGGGACAATATCAGCATGCATTGTATCATTTAGTTAGAGTTGCACGTGCAGCGACTGGTTCCGAAAATATAATACAAATGCCTAGGTATAATATCTGTAAACAATGTAATGTAATGTGTATCTATGCAGATATCTAATTTTTATGTACGTGTTTTGTACAGTTCATTAACAACAGAATGGTCCCGATACCATAGAGAATTTCAAGAAATAAGTTTTATTGCATCTGGTGGATTTGGTCACGTATTTAAAGCTTTACATCGCTTGGATGGTACTGAATATGCAGTTAAGAAGATAATAGTAAGATCTGGTCGAGTTAAAAGTATTATACAACATCTGGAAGAAGTAAAAACACTTGCCAAATTGAATCATACTAATATAATTTCGTACAAAGGTGCTTGGATAGAACCAACATTACCATCAATTTGTACTAAGATTATACCAAGTTTACCATCATCTAATTATTCTGAAAATAAAATAAGTAGTGTAGGTCATAAGAAAAAAAATAGGTATAAATCTTGTACAAAACAAAGTTTTGGTGTACAGAATGAATTTCACTATGCTAGTAGTGACAACAGTCAGAGTCCTTCGGACAGCGGTGAACAGGATATGCTGTTACAATATAATAAAAAAATAAATTATAAATCTGGTATGTATACTCATGCCAATTGTACAGAGAAAGAATCAGTAAGGATACAAAATTCAGTAACTAGTTATGATGTTATTAACAAAAGATTTGATCAACTAAATACTCCAATTAATACCATAGGGCAACGGATAGTCGAAGAAAATATTGAAAGAACTACTTCAAATAGTATTTCTTTTAGAAATGATAGCAAGAATTTAGATGATAAGATGGAAAATAACACAAATTATACAGATGGTACTGATTCGTGTGAAGGATCAAATAGCAATAATAAGCTTTGTCCATACATTCCTCAAACGGTTTGTACAAATTTTGTATTATCTTCTAAGTAATAATACAATTTTAAAAACTTCACATTGAAATTCTTTAATGGATAGAATGAACAGTGTGTAACGTTATATATTCAAATGGCACTTTGCGAAAAGACACTTCAACAATGGCTAAGTGAAAGGAATGAGCAAACTTCACAAACAATGATCATTGGAATGTTAACTCAAATTCTTTGTGGTTTGAATTACATACATTCCCGCGGAATTGTGCATCACGACATAAAGGTTGTAGCAAGTATGTAACATTACTAAATAATATACTTAGAAGAAATTTTTTGTTTCAGCCAAGCAATATATTTGTTTCAATGTCTGGTAGCATTCATATACAATTAGGTGATTTTGGACTAGCTTGTCCACTACAAAGAGAAAATCATCGTTCTATTTTAGGTACACAAATGTATGCTGCACCAGAACAACTGGAAGGAAAATGTGATCCAAAAGTATTGCTTTAAATATTGTATAACATTGAATATTGTAGTAAATATTGACAAAAAGGAACTCAGCTCCAATGAACTCGACTTTGAAACATGTTGTTAAAGTCGCTTAGATTTAATTTCCAAGATGACTAGTAGCAGTTACAGTATTTCGTGAATATCTCAGAAATTGGAGTACAATATTTTTTGTAAAAACAAAAGTTGCTAAAAATGCCGAGCTGTACAATGTATTTACTCTTCATTAAAATTAGAGAGGAGAATCCTTTTGCAAATAATTACAAACACATTTTTGCAAATATGTCAAAAACTTAAGCCTAGCGACGAGTACATGTATAGGAAAAAGACACTGGGTTACCGTTTTGTCGATACTTACAAATATTATATTTGTAGAATTTTTTAATCTGATTTGGTTTTTTTCAGAGTGATATATATAGTCTGGGAATAGTACTTCTAGAATTGTTAGTACATACAAAAACTCATATGGAGCGAGTAGAAATAATTACTAGCGTAAAAAGAGGTCACATACCAACAATGCTAACAGCTACCTATCCTAAATGGGTATACTTTTAAAATAATATCTAATAATTTAAGAGAGAGAGAGAGAGAGAGAGAGAGAGAGAGAGAGAGAGAGAAAGGAATGTTTTAATTAAAATGTTGAATTTTCTGATAGNATATATATAGTCTGGGAATAGTACTTCTAGAATTGTTAGTACATACAAAAACTCATATGGAGCGAGTAGAAATAATTACTAGCGTAAAAAGAGGTCACATACCAACAATGCTAACAGCTACCTATCCTAAATGGGTATACTTTTAAAATAATATCTAATAATTTAAGAGAGAGAGAGAGAGAGAGAGAGAGAGAGAGAGAGAGAGAGAGAGAGAGAGAGAGAGAGAGAGAGAAAGGAATGTTTTAATTAAAATGTTGAATTTTCTGATAGGCACATATAGTAAGTCAATTAGTACAAGCAGACCCTGAGAAACGACCATCGACAAGTCAGTTGTTACAAGATTTAAACGAAGATAAGGATATGACGATAGCTCAATTAAAAAGTACAATTGTGATAAAAAACAATAAAATACAAGCATTAGAAGATAGAATATCAAGGTTAAAAGCACTGATTACAAAACACAATATAACAATAGATGATATGTAAGATATTAAATTAATTTAATTCAAAGAA